TAGTTCTTTGACAATGGCGGTCATTAATTCGCTGTTTTGGCCTTAATTTCTCGCTTGGTTCTGTTCAGTTTTTTGAATTATGCAGCTTGATCAACCCCATTGATTCATTTGATTTTCTAATCATGTTTGACTTGTTTTTGTTGATGTCATGGACCTCGGCTTCATTGTGTGCCAAAAATCCGGTTCTTGCCTTGCCTTCTATTGTAAAATGACAAGTGATTTAAGTTTTAACTTAGAATTGAAAGAATTAATGAAAGAGTCTGTTGATTTTGATACTTTTGTTCTTAGTTTAATTAATTAGGATTAATCCAAGAGTTTTGTAATGCAATGATTTAATTTTTTTTTTTAACAATTAATTTTGAGACTTTTAGTTTCTGCGTTCTTCTCTTGAATATGATTTACTTCATTTTTTTTCAGCTTCTGACTTTTTACCAGAATCGGGATTCTTCTTCAGGTTCCTGGGAAAGCTGTCATTTTTTGTATGCTGCAGAAAGTTAAAAATTGCGATTTACTGAAATGGAAAGAGTGAGAAAGTGGTAAATTTTTGAAGCGAATTTGATGGTTTGGGATATGGACGCCGACAACATCGACGACATGGACATGGAAGTCCTCCGTTCCATGTGGCCTGACGACATCGGAGCTGATGGCGGAAAGCAATTCAACATGGACAACCCGGGGCGAGATGAGGACATGTTGGAGGAGGTGACATTCTTAGAGGAACCAACAATCGTTGATTTCCAGCGTCTTGTGGAGCTGACAAACTACACCGATAAGGGCTCTTCGCAACTTGCATTCCTCGTAAAACACTGGGAGTATAAGCAGGCAAACGCCGTGCGCCTTCTCAGAGAAGAACTCGACAGCTTAAGCAAGCAGAGGCAGGAAGTTGAGCTCAAGAAGTTGGAGATATTGGAAGACCATCTCTTCGAGTTAGAGAGTTATGGAGGTGACAAGCGCCCCATTTCGATTTTGGATGAAGTTTATGAGATATGGCCGGAAATTGCCCCGAAGAAACATGACGTTGTTGTGCAGACAAAGAAGGTCGAGGTAGAACCGGAGTATGATACTGTTGCGTACTGGAAGCAGAGGGCAATGCAATTGGAGAAAGTGTTGGAGGCGAGCGCCGAGAGAGAGCAGATTCTTGTGGAAAAATTGCAGGAAAGCATTCAGAGTCTCGAAAGTCAGTCATCGCCGGTCGAAGAGCTGTCTCAGATTTTGAAAAGAGCTGATAATTTCTTGCATTTTGTTCTTCAGAATGCACCTGTTGTTATCGGCCACCAGGTACATCGATAATACCATGTGAATCCTATGTTTTGGTTTTTCTTAACAACAAAAGCGAGAGTAACGAAGGATTAGGCGAGCAAAACTACAGCTAATCTGTATGTTGGAAACTGCCTCACTCATCTCTGATTTCCATTTCTTTTGCTTTCTGTTTTAGGATAAAGAATTGCGGTATCGGTTCATCTATAATCACTTCCCAAGTTTGCAAGAGGAGGTAATTAAGTGCCACAGCAGTTCTTAATCCTCACCTCTTCTTCCTTGTAATCTCGTTTTTCGTTTCTTGTTTCGCAGAATTGCCTAAGTGAAAAGCGGGATACTAAACCACCTCAAATTCATCGCTTTCGTTGTTTTTCTGTAGGACATTATAGGAAGAACAGATGTTGAAATTTTTTCTGGAGCCGGCGTTAAAGAAGCTCAGGATTTCAAGAAAGAGGTTCTTGAGAAAGGCATACCTGCAAAAAGGGAGATGACATTTGAAACGCCCTTGTTCGGGACGAAAACGTTTTTGATATATGTAGAACCTGTCTTCAGCAAGGCAGGAGAAACAATTGGTATAAATTACATGGGGATGGATGTCACCGATCAGGTATTTGCTTTGTTTCTAGCTTCAATGCAAGGCTTTTTCTTCTGATAACTTATAAATCGGGGTCCTTGTACATCTTCGTGAACAATTCAGGTGAGGAAAAGAGAGAAGATGGCAAAGCTTCGAGAAGAGATCGCAGTCCAGAAAGCCAAGGAAACAGAACTGAACAAAACAATTCACATCACAGAGGAGACAATGCGAGCGAAACAGATGCTGGCAACAATGTCTCATGAGATAAGATCACCTCTTTCCGGGGTTGTTAGCATGGCTGAGATTCTCACCACCACAAAACTTGATCGCGAGCAACACCAGCTTTTGGACGTCATGTTATCTTCGGGAGATTTGGTCCTTCAACTGATAAACGACATCCTTGACCTTTCCAAGGTCGAGTCAGGTCTGAAAACTCATCCTTTCCCTGTTGTCTACCACTACCGAAACAATCAATCTCGCGTTATCTGATATTCCTTAACTCACCCGGTGCAGGAGTAATGAAGTTGGAAGCTACAAAATTCCGGCCACGAGAGGTAGTAAGGCACGTACTACAGACTGCGGCAGCATCATTGCAGAAAATTTTGACCCTGGAAGGGCATGTATCTGAGGATGTTCCTGTGGAGGTAAGGGCTTTAGATTGCAGCGCCTGCATCCTCTGCATTGCTAAGGACATCTATAAATTATCGTGTTTTTGGTTTTTATGTTTCGATTTCAGGTCATCGGCGACGTTTTAAGAATTCGTCAAATCCTAACAAATTTGATCAGTAACGCAATCAAGTTTACTCATGAAGGCAAAGTTGGGATAAAACTTTACGTGGTATCGGATCCGTCTGTTGAAGAGGACGAAGGATGCCCTCAAAACCCGAATACAGTTCAATCGACGGTTTCAGAGAATGGACCGGAAGCAGAGAAACCTAACATCTCAAACTTCTTGTGACCAAGAAGGTTTCGATGGAGACGGACCACACCAAAATCACTCACTTAACGACGAACCTAGAACCCCGGCTAAGCGTGAAGTTTCGATGGATGCAGCAGATCAAGAGGATGAACCTCGTTTGCCCGAAACGAAAACGGTTTGGTTACGATGTGATGTCTACGACACCGGAATCGGAATACCGGGTATGCTTTTTAAGTGGTAATCTCTTCAATGCACGGAAAAAGGAAGCCCCCAAATCTGAAATTTCTAACTATGTTCTTTTGAATTTTCATGCATCAGAAAATGCTTTACCTTCTCTGTTCAAAAGATACATGCAAGTCAGTGCTGATCATGCTCGAAAATATGGAGGGACAGGATTAGGACTAGCAATATGCAAACAACTGGTAAAACACTTATTTACCATTACCTATTATCCTTTTTTTTTTACCCAGTTTTTTTTACTGCTTTCTTAGAAGTTTGTATGTGTTTTGGTGTAGGTTGAGCTAATGGGGGGTCAGCTTACAGTATCTAGCAAAGAAAAATGTGGGTCGACATTTACGTTTGTCCTACCGTACAAGGTTTCGACATCATCCGAAAAACATTCCGACGACCCCGATGATTCTGATGAAGCATCGGATATGGCGAGTCAAGACGGTGCAACTGATGAAGTAGCCGACAGCTATTTCCAGTTCCAGCCGCGAACTTTAGGTTCTCTGTTCTCTTCTAATGGAGCTGCCAGGACCCAAAACTTATTACCCCACAAAATGGGGTTTACCGGTTCACATAAACTCGATGGGTTTGCACGAAACTCATACTCGTTTCCAAACGGTAGCATCGGATCGGAGGAGATAGCTTTGGTTGAAAACTCTTGCCCAGAAGGTGATTTTGCCGAGACATTATCAGAACCAAAGCGCTCCTCAGCGAGCCACATCCGAGATCCTAATAGTGAAAATCCAGCTAGTACAAACAAACAGGGTCGAGATGACATGGATAATCGATTCCAAGACTCTAGAAGTACAAATTCAAGTCATCCTTCAGAGGAAAGAAGAGAAACAGCTGTAGCAGCACCCACAAGAGAACCCCAAGGAACATGCAAGAGGCACGAGAAACCCGACGCAGACTCAGAGAGTACCAGCAGCAGTTCAAATTTACCAAAACCAACATCGAAACCTAGGATTCTTCTTGTTGAAGATAACAAGATTAACGTTATGGTGGCACAGAACATGATGAAACGGTTAGGCCATAGCATTGATGTTGCGAACAATGGAATGGAAGCTGTGCGTGCAGTTCAACGCTGTAGATACAATCTCATCTTGATGGTACATAATTTCTACAAAACTCCAAAGGCTGTGTTCGTTTATAGAGACAAAAGAATCACGCAAATCTTGGTATTCATGGTTGTCGTAAATTTTGCAGGATGTTCACATGCCAGTTATGGATGGCCTTCAAACTACAAGAATTATACGTTCTTTCGAAGAAACTGGCAACTGGGATGCCGCTGAGAAAGCTGGAATTGAGCTTCCTCTGCCTTCATCAGAAACATTACAGAACGGTCATGGTTGCACACCTTCTGGAAAGCGAATCCCCATCATAGCGGTGCGCCTATATTTACAGTCCTATTTAACTAATCTAAGTTTTTCGCTTAAGCTACTAACAACACTATATACTAATGCATCATCATGTTATGATGCAGATGACAGCAAATGCATTTTCAGAGAGTGCAGAAGAATGTTTCAATAGTGGAATGGACTCATTCGTGCCAAAGCCCGTAACATTCCAAAAATTGAAAGACCGTCTCGAACAATACCTACCCGATTGATATAAACATCTATTGTAAAATCCTATGTTAGTTAGTGTACAAAGAAAATGAGGTTTGCTTGTGCTAGGAAAATTTTGTAATCAATGTACCATATTCTTCTTCTCAAAACATCAGTAGCATCTAATTATAACTTGTACATATGCAACAACTCCAAAAGATCAGTTGTTCAAAATTAAAAGCAACTCTGTTCACTATTCCAAGCCGAGGATAACAAACAAACGTATCCAAAAACTAAATATCAAATGGCATATTACATAATCCAGACTAAAGATAATCCGGAAGATTATAACAGATATCGCGTAATATTACAAAATTTTAAGTACGCCTCGAACACTAACTACCTGATTGATTAAAACATCAATGATAGTTTGCTTCTGCTATGAAAGTTCCGAAATCGATGTATCATATTCATCTTCTCTCAAAATATTATCAGCATTATATGGTTATAAAATTGTACATATACAACTCCTCTAATAGATCAAATTGTTCAAACTGTTTTCTCTACTCGAAGCTGAGGATAACAAAGGAACTAACACCTCTAAATCTAGAATCCCAAATAGCATATTACACAATCCAGAATAAAGATAATCCGGAATAGCGGAATAGTATAATCAGATAATCCCACCATCCAAACAGCACAATATTAACCAGAAGAGCGGCCGGAGAAATCACTTATCTTTGGTGGAGACGCCGTACTTCTCCTGCATCCTGGCGATCTCGTCCTCCTTCTTCTTCGTGTCGGACTTCTTGCCCATCTTCGCCTGCTGGTAGTAGAGCACAATGAGGTACCGGTTCGCGACGTTGAAGCCGGAGAGGTGATCCACCGCCGTTTTGGCGTCGTAGATGTCCTCGTAAACGACGAATGCGGTGCCTCTGGTGTCCTTGTTGGTCCCGATGCGAATCTGCCGTATTGCGCCGTACTTGCCGAAGATGTCGTACATCTCCTCGCTCGAGATGTTGAAGGGGAGGTTGCGGACATAGAGCACGCGGTTGACTTCCGGCGGGAGGCGGGTGTTGACCTTGCGGAGGCTGATTGTGCTCATGGTGGCGGTTTGGGGGGTGCTTGGATGGCGGGAAAGTGAGGGAAAGCGAGGGAAAAATTGGGGATTTTGAGACGGAGAGAACTGTTTGATTTGGTACTCTTGTGACTAAATTAGGGCTTCGGATTGTATAAAGAGGGGAAATGAAGAAGGTGAAGCCGACTTATAAGATGTGGGCTTTTTTTTTTTTAGCAAGCTAAAATATGTGGGCTTTGAATTAATGAAATGGGCTGAAATAGAAAACCCAATTTACATGCGGACCTTATTTTTCTGTTGTATTTTTTTTAATAACGTAAGATGATTTTTGGTCACTATGTTTGGAGTAGGATCTCTCAAATTCTCTCATCTTCTCTCTTACTTTCCTCTGTCCTTCTCTTCCTCTATAAAAAAAGTCAACACAAAGTGTTGACATGATTCAATTGTGACCGTTTAAATAGAAAATGAGTGAAGAGGGAGAGGAATTTGGGGGGAGCGGAATCCGACTCCATGTTTTGTCCCTGTTTTTATTTTGGTTACTATAATTTAAGAGTAAGGTGATTTCCAAATAAATAAAAAAATATTAAGGTGAATTTCTTTTTGGGCGGAACCCTTGATGGAATATGTATTTTTTTTTTATGTCTAATTTCTATGCTTTAGAAGCGAACGCTTAAAAGAATGATCCATATACTGTCCATGCTGAAACATAAGTTAAAATTCCAAATTACTCTTAAAAATGACAATTATCCACTTTTGTTTCCTTTGACATAATTTTTTCGCCTTTAGAGGTCGGCAAAATATTCGTCAGAATTGCGGAAGAACTAATATAATCATATTTTTGTCTTTCAGTATTATTAGTATTTCCTCGCTTTTTCTGTTTTAAAAGGTTATTATTGAAAGAACAAAATATTGTAAAAAAGAGTAGTCGGTTTGGCCTTCAAAAACATTTTGGTAAAATATTTTGTGATATATTTTCCGGAAAGGAAAAGGAATCCATGTAGGATTTGGAAGTACTGGCTATCACTATATATTGTGTAATTCACACAATTATACCTGCCCAGCTTTGCCTTCTTCTTCTCTTCTTCCATGGATTCCAAGTTTGCACTGATCTGTTTTCTTCTCTCTTCAATTCTCTTTGTTACCGGTCAAGCTGTTCAACCACATGAACAAACGAGCCAACCGGAACAGTCAGGAATCAACATGGGGAAGGTATCCAGCGTACTTTCCGACAAAGGGTATCACGCCATGGCACTAACCCTAGGCACCATTCTTGAGGCTGTGATATTTCCAACCCTAAACTTAAATCACAGCACCAGTCTTACCCTCTTTTGCCCTAAAGACCAAGCTTTCTTTAACTCCAAGTATGGACAGCCTCCGTTGACACTATTTAAGTATCATGTTGTGCCGTTCAAGATGGACAAAGATTCAGTAGAGGCGTCTTTCGATCATGGTTCCAAGGTCGACACTCTTCTGCCCGGTCATCCTCTCGTTCTTACTTCCCTGCCCACCGGCACTGGCGGATACGCTTCTCTCAACCTAGTCAAAGTCACGGAGTGGGGTGTGTACAATGACGGACGACTGATTGTTCATGGGATTGAGGACTTCTTTGATCCGGCTTTCCAAACCCTAAGGTATCCGCAATATGACGTGATGAACGTTAAAGAGGGAACTTCTCAAGGATTTCCGGGGCTGAAAGGTGCATTAGGGATTATTAGTCGGTTTCTCTTTCTGCAGAATTAGGTTCTTGGCGTTTGAGAGGTTATACTACAGTTGTCTGCATTTATTAGAGAGAATAGTTAGTATTAGTCATTGTGCCTGTGCGTTGCTGCGGGTTTAAAAGTGTATGGATAAAATTTGTAGAAAGTTTTACAGACATGTATGTGTATACATTGTATTTACATCAAGGAACAAACATAGAGATGGTTCAGTGTTGATCTGGTAATGGAGTAATTGTAACAAACAATGTAGTTGTAATTCAAAGGGTAAAGTTTTGCTGTAGAGTGAAAAAATGTTGATTCAAATGTGATTTTATGAAGAGTTGCTAAGCAAATTGATAGTTAACATGCAGGAAAGTGTTTATGTAATTAATATTTTACTAAGGGGAGAAATAATATTGAAGAACAAAGTTACAAAGTTACATTCAGATAGTGAGGAGTTTGGGAAAGGGATGAGCAGGAATAAATTTTTATATATAGAATTGTTTTCAGAATTGGAAAAGTAAGGAACATTGCTATCTACTTGATGGAACAATTTTTCTTGTTTAAAACTGGTTTTAATGTAATTGAAGTAAGTTGTGGATAAATGTAGCAGACAATGACCTAGTGTGCCACGTTCTCATATGCTTTCTTGTAAGATTATTGAAGAACAATACTTAGTTTTTGAACAAAATTAACTTCTAGATGAGTAATTTAACATAAAATAAACTCAGAAATCTCTAATTGAAGAACAATACTTAGTGTTTGAACAAAATTAACTTCTAGATGAGTAATTTAACATAGAAGAAGTAAAAAGAAAACCAGTAATCTAAATATCATTTACATGATGTTAAACAACAAAATTAGATAAAACCGTGATTTGATTTGCAAGCATGCTCTGCTCGAGGACATAACGGCATGTACAATTACTTATGTAAATGAATAAATCTGCAGCATGCCCTGATCCATTGATCCACCATTAGAGATTCTGAAATATCTAAACTACAACAAAGCAAGTTTGTGAATTTAGCTGACACGAGAATCAGGCACAAAAGAAATAATTTTCATCGTAGAAAAGACAGCAAATAAATGTATTTAGAATAGTCAGGGGAGGAAGCCAAACACAAAATCCCTTTTAGTCAGCAAAGCCTCGACAAACCGCCACAGCTGACCGCAAAACCAAACCGTTAAGAGTTTCGTTCAAATAAACACAAATCCGAAATAAAAACTCACATACAGCTGTTATAGAATCTACTTGAGTTCAATGGAATTTGTTTGATGGTGATCTGAAGGCAGGCCATGCCCAGATTGGACTGAAAAGTCGCCAGAAAGCTGGTTACAACTCTACAATCGCAGACCGAAAAGGAGGGGAATACTCTGAAAACAGGGCAAACAATGACAACCCAACAAAACCAAAGCTTTAATTAAAAGAAGCATAATTCAGTTTAAATTTCGTAATTTATTTCTTTCATTTTTTGACCAATCAAACAAACCATCACCGGAGAAAGATCCAACACGAAAAAAAAAAAAAAAAAAAAAAAAGCTTATATACCTTGATCGCAAACAGCTTGCAAGGTTGCAGACAGAAAGGCCAAAATTTGAACAACAAATTTTGCTGAAATCAAATATGAAAGCAGATCAGAAAGGCAGACCCAAAGCACGAAAAAGAATCAAACAACATACAATCAGAAAAGCAGAAAACCAAATCTTAGATCGTATCCATAACTTTTCCTGAAACCAAAAATCAAACCGCATCACAAAGCCACACCCAAACAACAAAACAAAATTGAAATCAGATACGGCAACAAACGCAAATAACTCACCAGAGAACGTTAGTTTTCTAGAAAGAAAACGGCTGTGGATAATCGGCGAGAGAAAGATGCGAAGGGTGGACAGCAAGAACAACGAAGGCGTGAGAGAGGAAAAAAGCCTAGGCTCCATTTAAGTCCGCTCACTGTCCGTGAACAGTGAACGCTGGTTTGGGTTTTAGTATAGAAATAATTTGTTTTCCGTAAAATCCGTGGTATATATTCATGTGTTATATATAATCATTTTATTTCTAAACCAATTTACAATATTTTTTACCCATCTACAATTAAATCTAACGATAAGGTGCTACATCTATAATTAGCACCGACTATGTGAAACAAAAAAACTGTCAATTGCTTTCTTGGGCAATCTCATGAGGTGTTGGCCTCTCAGTAATCTCATTGACTGATTCCATCTCTCTTCATTTGGGCGAACCATCACTGGGACTGAAACCACCATGCTAAGTAGAAGGTTTTCTCATCTGCTCGTCGAAAACCATGCGTGATTCAGTGTTGTTTGAGTAGACTGATGGACTTGGGGGGAAGATGGTGTTCGCTTCCAGTTCACCCTTCTTAAAAGTAAATGACTTTAAGTCCTTTTTGTCGTAAATTCTGAACACGACACAAAATTTTCTCCACAATGAGGCTTCTGGATCGAGTCGCAAGAGGATTTCCTTGTGTTCGTACAAGAACATGGCAGCATATATGAGGAGAGCTAATACTGAAGCAAGACCGGCTATGAGAAAGAGGCCCCGAAAGCTCTCTAGGCCGAGACTGTTGAAAGGGACCAGGCTGTTAGGGTCTTGACAACTTAATTCTTTGTTGAACCATTTCTTCTCAATCGTTTTCATTCTGTCTCCCTCGTTCACGTTTAGGATTGCCGTCGAAACGTCACGAGCAAGAGATGAACCTTTTGGGAAGACCTACAAGTCACAAATGAAAGCGTCAAAAGATTGTATTCGGAAGATATTCTAGGAGTTAAATATACGCCAATGATAATTTAAACGATATTATGTAACCACTAAATTCTCCGATGCAAAATTCACACTCTCAACAGAAAGAACACCGAATAATCCCACATGACATGAGAAAACATGTATTCGAACATGATAGAGACGAAGGAGAGAAAGCAGGTAAACGTACAAAGCCAAAACCATCGGCTTTAAATGTCGGCTCAACCATGGTGTATTTCGAGCAATACTTTGCAAGAAATAGCTTCATGTAGGGCTTCTCATCGAATGCTGCCGAGATACCATCCTTTTTACTCCCGTTTTGAAAAAGTTCGTTCAACTCTTCTGGGGAACTAAAAGTCTTAATTTTTTCAGCTGGAAATCGTAGTTGTTTCAGAATTTCAAGAACAAAAGAATCTGATTGGTAGGCAACATTGTCCCCATTCTTGAGGAGCAAATTAACATCCGTAACAGTTGGTTGGAGATGTTGAACTGTTAACAACGATGCCAAACTTGCAGTATAACTTTGGGTCAGAATGAGCACCAGAAAGCACCAGATTATCACCACGAATCGAGCCAAGTTGCTCACTACTCGCTCCCCTGTAACGAAAATTTCAAAAGTTGAAGGAAATGGAGAATAATGAGTCATGGATGTCATAAGTTTGAGGCATAATTTACAATGGAAAGCATGAAATTTGCATAGTTTC